GCTTCACTTCTGCATAGTAAAGAGAAGTGGTGCTGCATTATCCATCTGCTGTGGACAACCCTTTGCATTGTATATTATTTGTAACTTCCAGCATTGCATTGTGACTGTCTTGCCTGATGCTGGATATTGCATGAACATTGTGGCTCTATCCAGCTAGGTCCTGCTATGTTTGAACACTGCCTTGCTGTGAATTTTGCACACAGCAGCTACATGTCTGAAAATCAAAGAAGCAACATACTACACAGCTACATGTAAACCATAACTTATAACTACATGTAACCTATACAAATTAGAAGCTGAATATATTATACTGTAAATTTTCCAGTTTAATGAAGAATGAACAGAAGAAACAAAAGTGCAGTAATGTGTTTTTGGCATTAATGGCAATGAAATCTAATCTTAAAAGGTAAATTTGATCACATTCCACTATGCTTTCAGTGCTTGAAAGGAGATGTCAGATGGAAGCCCAGCTCCAATTCCACTCTAACTAGTGCCATTTCCTCCTATTCAGAGCATGCCATTTCTCCATTTTTATGAATGTAATTGCACTGAGAGCACGGCCATCAGACAGTATTCTACAGTATATATTTATCAGCAAAAAGCACTTTAGCAGACTTCTTAATCCCCCAAAAACCTTAGAGAGGATTTGTCACTGTGATGATTTGAGGACAGGAGCTTTGCCTGCTTGTCTTATCAGTTGTTATCAGGAAAGTCAAAACCTTTGAACTCCTCATTCATACACTAGTGGAAAGAACCATCACAACGCTCTTTTAATGGGCCTGTACTGACACTGTCCGCAAAGGTACGTTGGCAGCTTCTTTCCGTTGGATATGAAGTAGAGCTGCAACGGCGCGTCGACGTAATCGACTACGTCGAACACGTAAATACGTCGACTTAAAAAAAATGCGTCACGACTTTTTAAAAAAATTGTCTACTGTCCACACTCCAGTTCACTAGGTGGCGGTAATGCACGTTTTACACTTGGTTGCCACTCGCCAATAAACCCCACGGCAGAAGAAGAGGAAATACGTCACAACGCTGCATGATACTGTGTTTACGCAGATAATGGCGGCTGCTAATGCCGGTCAAAGCGATGATGCTTTGCACAAGGCAATATCACGAAGAAAATCAAAAGCGTGGGAATATTTCAGACAGAGGTCGAATCGAACAGTTATCTGTTCACTATTCCCCTGGAGGAGCTGGAGGAAGTGTCTGGAGAGAGGGAAGTCTGGGCATCTTTGCTTAGACTGCTGCCCCAGCGACCCGGTCCCGGATAAGCGGAGGAAAATGGATGGATGGATGGATGGATGTTGGCCAGTATTTGTTGGACTTAAAATTTAACACATTTAGGTATTCGTTGCAGTGCTAGGCAGAATTGATATTGGACTCATTACCTTTTAGTTATTGGATTTAAAATAATTACAGTTCAGGTGTTCATTCTTTGATGTTGGATGTAAAATTGTCACCTTTCCGATGTTAATTCTTTGCACTGTTAAGTACTGTTGCACTTTTAAGCACAGATTACTGGTGTTCTTTCCACTGTGCTGGGTTGGAGTATTATTTATATTGTACTTTTTGTAATTGTTTTTATATTCCATTTAAAATTGCACTTTATTTTCAAACTGAAACATTTTTTTTTACAGAAATTTCAATAAAAAAAACAAAAAAATACTAATGGTTGAAGTTGTTTTACTTTTTTTTTTTTAAGTCAAAAATGATATGCTAATTAGAAACATCATTACATTAACAGATTAGTCGACTAATCGAAATTTTCATTGATTAGTCGACAGACAAATTAGTCAAATTATGCAGCTATGAAGAACACAGGAAATAAGTTGCCATCTTGAGATTGAATTCAAATCAATTCAGTTTTATTTGTATAGCACCAAATCACAAGAGCAATCATCTCAGTGCACTTGACATAGTAAGATCTAGACGTTACTATTACTATTATTATTATTATTACAGAGGAAAACCCAACAAATTCCCCTTGAGCAGCACTTGGCGACAGTGGGGAGGAAAAACTCCCTTTAACAGAAGAAACCTCCGACAGACCCTGGCTCT